CGGCCGCCAGGTTCTCCGCCTGTCTTCAAGGCTCGTTACGTGGCTCGAGGCTTCAGTCAGCGAGAGGGAGTTGACTTCTTCCAAAACTTCTCCCCCACCCCGAAGATGACCACTCTTCGGGTGCTGCTGCACGTTGCCGCTCAGCGTGACTACGAGCTTCACTCTCTTGACTTCAGCACAGCCTTCTTACAGGGCAGCCTGCACGAGGAGATTTGGCTGCGCCGCCCTCCTGGCTTCACTGGGTCGTTCCCTCCTGGTACCCAGTGGAGCCTCCGGCGGCCGGTCTACGGTCTCCGCCAGGCGCCACGTGAGTGGCACGACACACTGAGGACGACACTTGCGGCTCTTGGGTTTGCTCCGTCGACTGCTGCTGACCCGTCGCTGTTTTTGCGCACCGACACTTTGCTGCCGCCGTTCTACGTTCTCGTGTACGTCGACGACTTGGTCTTTGCCACTGCTGACACTGAGGCTCTCGCCCTGGTGAAGTCGGAGCTGCAGAAGAGACACACGTGCACAGACCTGGGTGAACTGCGCAGCTACCTTGGCTTGCAGATCACCCGGGACAGAGCACGCCGCACCATCACACTGACTCAGTCACACATGGTGCAGCAGGTCCTTCAGCGCTTCGGTTTCACCTGGTCCTCAGCACAGGCCACTCCTCTGGCTACATGTCACTTCTCTCAGCTCCACCTTCGGACGAGTCCGTAGAGCCGAGTGGTCCTTACCCAGAGTTAGTAGGCTGCCTCATGTACCTGATGACTTGCACTCGTCCTGACCTTGCTTACCCTTTTGGCCTTCTGGCTCGCTACGTGGCTCCTGGTCGACACCGAAAGGTGCACATGGATGCTGCCAAGAGGGTACTACGCTACTTGTGCAGTACATCGGGCATGGGGCTCGTGCTTGGAGGACGGGGTGACGTTGTCCTCATTGGTCACTCGGACGCCTCTTGGGTTGACGACCAGGCTACGCAGCGGTCGTCACAGGGTTACACCTTCAGCCTTGGCTCTGGTTCAGTTTCTTGGCGTTCTACATGCTCGTCTTCAGTTCTCGGCTCCAGTTGTGAGGCTGAGATCTACGCCACAGCCATGGCTGCACAGGAGCTTCGCTGGCTCACCTACCTGCTGACTGACTTGGGAGAGCGGCCTCGTTCTCCTCCAGTGCTGTACGTCGACAACAAGGCCGCCATTGCCTTGTGTCAGGAGCACGGACTGGAGCACAGAACGAAGCACATCGCTCTCCGTTACTTTCTTGCTCGAGAGCTGCAGCAGCGTGGCCAGCTTCGTCTTACCTACGTGGCCACTCGGGCCAACACTGCTGATATATTCACCAAGGCACTTCCGCCTGGTGATCATCAGCGTTTCTGCACTTTGTTAGGCCTTGTGCCCACGCTTCCTCACTTGCTGTAGGCTTTGTTTGTACCATGATTTATATGTATTCCTGCATGCTTGTTCTTGCAGGTAGATTTCACTGTACTGTTGTTGTTACATATATATCTCTGCATGTGAACTGGCCTTGTGGCCTTCTTGCTTGTGCTCAGACTGCGTGGTGACGTTGTGATCCACCCTGAGCTTGCTTTGCACTTCCTGATTGGTCTTGTGACCCTTTGTTCTCCCCCACTCTGCCAATGGGGGTGTGTCAAACATATGTATATCTATGTTATAGTTTGGGTAGGCTTAGTGGGGTACACACTGTGGGGTACAACCCCTTAGGTTCATTTCTTTGTACCAACTCCCTCGATAGTCGATCACTTTAGCCTACAATTATGACAAGGTGAGCCAGCATAACTCCTGTGCAGCCATGGCCCCTACATAGATCTCAGCCTCACAACTGGAACTGAGAACAGAAGACGAACGGGTAGACCGCCAAGAAACAGAGCCGGAGCCAAGGCTGAAAGTGTAACCCAGTGACGACCGCTGCGTAGCCAAGTCGTCAACCCAGGAAGCGTCTGCGTGTCCAATGAGGACAACTGGACCCCGTCCTCCAAGCACGAGCCCCATGCCCAATGTACTGCACAAGTAGTGCAACACCTTCTTAGCGGGCTCCCAGTGCTCTGGTCGGTGTCTCCCGGGCGCAACGTAGCGTGCCAGGATGCTAAGAGGGTAGGCAAGGTCAGGTCGAGTGCAGGTCATCAGGTACATGAGGCAGCCCACAAGCTCTGGATATGGGCCACTCGGCTCTACGGACTCGTCCGAAGGTGGAGCTGAGAGCGAGTGACTGGTAGGCAGAGGAGTGGACTGTGGCGAGGAGTACCGGAAGCCGAATCGCTGAAGGACCTGGTGCACCATGTGTGACTGAGTCAGGGTGATGGTGTGCCGTGCTCTGTCCCGGGTGATCTGCAAGCCAAGATAGCTGCGCAGCTCACCCAGGTCAATGCAGGTGTGTCTCTTCTGCAGCTCCGACTTCACAAGGGCCAGTGCCTCAGTGTCAGCAGTGGCAAAAACCAATTCGTCGCCGTACACGACGATGTAGAACGGTGGGAGCAAAGTGTCGGTGCGCAGAAACAGCGACGGGTCAGCGGTCGAAGGAGCAAACCCAAGAGCCGCAAGCGTCGTCCTCAGTGTGTCGTGCCACTCGCGAGGCGCCTAGCGGAGACCGTAGACTGGCCGCCGGAGGCTCCACTGGGTACCTGCAGAAAACGACCCAGTGAAGCCAAGTGGGCGGCGCAGCCAGATCTCCTCGTGCAGGCTGCCCTGTAAGAAAGTTGTGCTGAAGTCAAGAGAGTGAAGCTCGTAGTCACGCTGAGCGGCGACGTGTAGCAGCACCCGAAGAGTGGTCATCTTCGTGTCAAAATGGTGAAATGCTTACATTGTGTAGGCTGTAGTGGGGTAGCCCATAAGGGTGCAACCCAATTAGGGTTAGTACTTGTACCAACTTTCTGTTCAATGCATTCATTTTCGTTCAGTATTCTGACATGGTTTCAGAGCAGGACATGTTCCAGGACCGATTTTTTAGGGCCCACCACATAGCGCTGCCCCACTAATCGCGTCGCCCTGCCCTGTCTGTCGCGTTGCCCTGCTGGCTATTGCATCGCCCTGCCCTGCCCGTCGCCTCGCCCTACTTGCTGTAGCGTCGCCCTGCCCTGTCAGACGTGTCGCCCTGCTGCCTGCGCGCCACATTGCTGCCTGCGCGTCGCCCTGCCCTGCCTGTGCTGAGCCGCCCTGCTGCCCGCACCGCCCTGCTACGCGCCGCCCTGTTGCTGCGCAGCCCTGCTGGCCGGCGCCCTGCTACCCGCGCCCCGCCCTGCTGGTAGCCGCACCGCTGCCCACACCGCCCTGCCCGCGCCGCCTTGCTGCTGCCCGCCCTGCTGTGCGCCGCCCTGCTGGCCGACGCCCTGCTGCCCGCGCGCCGCCCTGTTGGCAGCCGCACCGCCCTGCCCTGCCCACGCGCCGCCCTGCTGGCCGCCGCCCTGCCCTACCCTGGCTGCGCGCCACTCTTCCCTAACCGTGCGCCGCCTCTCCCTGCCCTGCGCGCTTCTCTAGTGCTCGCGCGCCGCCCTGCCTGCTTGCTGCCCTGCTGGTCGCGCGCCACCCTGCTGTGCCCGCTATGGCTCCTTTCAACAACTTACTGTAGGCTATATTTTTATCACAACTGCCTTTTGCATATCATATTATAGAGGCAATGCCGTGAAAGTTCCACCGTCAGTCGTATCTTGTCGCATTTCACGCAGATCTGCGTACAGACAGACTGTCCATCGTTAGGGTAGATCGTACAACTAATTGTTGCACAAACCACATGAAGGAAAGCGGCGCAATGGTAGAATATAAGGGAGAGCATAGCAATATAATATCTGCGACTCGACGAGAAGGGACGCGAAGGGATTGGGACGGGATTGGATGCGACGGGACGGGACATAACGGGACAGGAGGGGACGCTACTGGACACGACAGGACAGGACGGGAACGGGGGGGGGGCTGATGGGACGTGAGGGGACGCGGCGGGACGGGACGGGACGGGACGGGACGGGACGGGACGGGACGGGACGGACGGGACGGGACGGACGGAACGGGACGGGACCGGACGGACGAGACGGGACGGGACGGGACGGGACAGAAATGAGACGTGACGGGTCCAGACGTGACAGGATGGGACATGATGGAACAGGATGGGACGGGACATGACGGGACAGGATGGGACAGGACATGACGGGACGGAATGGGATGGGACATGACGGGACGGAGCGGGACAGGACAGGCGGGAGGGGACGAGATGGTGCGGGAGGGGACAAGATGATGCGGGAGGGGATGCGACGGTGCGCGAGGGGACGCGACGGTGCGCGGGGGGACGCGACGGTGCGCGAGGGGACGCGACGGTGTGCGAGGGGACGCGACGGTGCGGGAAGGACCATCCTTTGGGTGACGAGAGCAGTCGTAACCCAATCACATGCGCTTTAGCCCAACCAAGTGTAATACCGTAGAAAATATGAGACCCGGGTTTTAAGCAATTTTGACACGCCTCTCCAGGTTTGAGAAGCTACCAGACATGAGAACAAAATCTACCTTTTCACTCGAGGGCATTCTGGTCCTAACATCACTACAGAGCAAATTCGCCCCTGGACTATGTCAAAATTCTCTGTAAAGAAAGCCTTATCTCGTCTCTTTTGAACTCATACGAGTCCAGCCGGAGCCAACCTTTCCTCCTTACCACTCTCCCCTCTGCCAGAGAGGCAGATACGAAAGCAACGAAAGAGATAGCGACAGCGACAGCGACGGCGAAGGTGGTATCCTCTCGTTCCGCCTGGCCCGATTCCTCCTCCTCCGCCTCCTCCTGCCATTCCCTCTGTTCTCCCATCCACCACCTCCTCCCTTCGAAGGATATCGAGGAGCATCGTAAGCAAACCTTGGAACCTCAGACGGGAGGTGAAATGGACGGTGAGGATACGAACCTTTGCCAGCCTTAGCGGCATCTGCGGCGGCCTTTGCGTCGGCCATTTCGGAAGCGTGTACGGCTAGGGGGGTGCCATCTGCCCTGCAATTGGCCGAGCCTACACCAGCAGGTTCGGTTCAAACCTTGGGGTTGTGATCCTCGGTATAAGATTCCTCTTTAACAGTGTCCACAGCCCGCGCGTAGTGCGTGCGCTCCCCGTGGTGCGTGCGCTCCCCGTAGTCCGTGCGCTCCCCGTGGTGCGTGCGCTCCTGGTAGTCCGTGCGCTCCCCGTAGTGCGTGCGCTCCCCATGGTGCGCGCACTCCCGGTAGCGCGTGCACTCCCCGTAGTGCGCGTGCTCCCCGTAGTGCGCACGCTCCCCGTAGTGCGTGCGCTCCCCGTGGTGCGTGCGCTCCTCGTAGTGCGTGCGCTCCCCGTAGTGCGCACGCTCCCCGTAGAGCGCACGCTCCCCGTAGTGCGCGCGCTCCCCGTAGTGCCTCTACAAAGAATGCGGGTCACAAAAGTGTCCCCAAAACCAGGCATGCGTAGGTATCCACCCAGGTACCTTGCGCAAACTTGTTCAAAACTTGCGAAACTGTGTGTATCTGGCTTGACAGGCATATCACGGCATTGCCCCAACATTGCCCAGGATTGGCATGGCTGCGCACCGAACCACATCCACGCCACAAAGTTCAAATCCGATACAAAGAATTGAATCCCCAAACAGTGCAAACCAGAATTACTGTGTATTATAGCAAACATATTACCATTTATATTATATAAGATATAGGGATAAGGTGCGCCATAACCGGCATGCACTAGCATAAAGGGTAAGATCTCATGCTCGCCTGTGCGCAGGTCGGTTCATAGTACAACGGGCATGACATGGGTCGGCCCAGGGCGGGGCGGTGTGGAGATTCGTGGGACAGGGGTATAGGGGACAGCATGACACGGCTTACATGTGGGTAGGATAAGGGCCCAGGACTACAGAGGGAGTGGCAGGAGTGACAGGGAAGCAGTCAACCTGGGTCAGTTGTTGTGGTGTGGTTCAGGCTGATCAGGTGAGGCTCTACGTGCACCTGTACGCCCATCGGTTCAGGTACCAAATGCCTCGCCGCTCGAAAGAGGGCGTGCAGTGAATCACACGGCGGATGGCAGCCACTTCAATGACCGCCAGTCCCCCCATGGCTGGGGAGCAGAAAGCGTGCGGCAGCCAGTGTGCTCATCCAGCCTATGGATCACAGTCACCTCCACCTCCTGGACCACCTCCGGCACATCTTGCTCTGCCTCCAACAGCATGAGAAGCCTCCCGTGCGCAAGCTGCCCTGCTGCCATCTCGTACTCCACGCACGAGAAGGCCGTGTGCCTGTGGAGGGAAGCAGCAGCACGGACATAGTGGGGCCTCAGGGTGCCAAGATCCGTTTCCCCGGCCGGCAAAGCAAGCGCCGTGTGGACCTAATAGCAGGGTTGGGGTATGGAGTACAGTCCCACGAGGGTGTGGATGGATTAAGGGCACAGAGGCAGAGGCGTGTACAACAGTAACTTGCCACATATGGAGAAATGTCGTAGCACTAAATCCATGGCGGCTCAGATGCGGGGTTACCTTGGCAGGAAATGGACGTAGGCATGCAGCACGCATGGCACCGTCGTATGTGGCCAGGATCCCGCCCAGTGCCTAGTTCAGTTGCTGGAACACGGAGTCTGCGGGCTCGCCACCATGGGGCACGCTGGTGAGCGACATGGCCGCCCTGGTCAGCTGGGGGGTGCCCGTGGCAATGGCTTGTGTGGTCGTGGGAGGGTGCGGGCATGGGTAAAGTACGAGATGAATGGGGTGCAAGGGGGTTCAAGAGCTTGCGGTTGCGTATTTCAATTTGTGACTGACTGCAGCACAACTTACACGGGCCATCGCGGTGTTGTTCTGCTGCCTGGGCGCGAGGCGCGTCACTCCTTGCGCAAGCATTTCCGCCCGTGTGTTGTGTGTTGCGATCGCACGCAATGGCGCCCTGTGGTTCGAGGCACGATACGGTAGCTTGCAGGTACGGATGTGGGCGTTTTCATAGACGGCAGCAGAGAACTCGCGAGGCACACCCTCGCGGCGAATGAAGTCTGGCAGATGGGTTAGTAGGTGGACCTTCAGCAGGTTGTACCCCTTGCCGCCACGGGGGAAAACAGCCTCGCATGCTTGGATCATCCTGCCAGTTGCATTAACGAGATCATTTCAGCGACATGCGCAAGCGAGCGCGAGAACCATGACATCTAAACATACCTTCTAGTCCGCCCATCCAGCTCGGTCAGTGAGGCTTCGGTGTGGAAGGGGGCGCGCACGCAGCTCTCGAGCCATTTGAGAACCCCAACCAGAGCCGATCGCCTGATGGGGACCCCTTCCCCTTCCATTACGAAAGGGACGATCTGCTCATGATGCACGAGTGGGGTAATCACGACAATAGGGGTTTGTGGTGCAGGTAAACCGAAGCTGCACGGCTGCCAGAGGGGTCAATCTGGCTTTATATGACCATTCAAACCTACCATCATGACAGCGGCATGCTCTGACGCCGTGTAGTTTGCTCCGCTCGCCCAATAGTTGCCACATCTTGGAACGGGGATGCCTGCGAGCCTTGCATCATGGTACATTTCAGCCATGCGCCGGCACACGATGCAACAGCATAGGTGGCCAGCACATTAGAGAACAGCAATGGCTGTGGGAATTGAAAGCATGCAGCATGACATCCCGAAGCGTAGATGTTCGCAATAAGCATACCTGTCCTTGGTAGCGGCCATCGTGTCGTTGCCCCGCAGCGAATCCCGGATGTACAGCCAGAAGCCGATAAAGATTGCATGCAGAACGTCGGGCCCCATCGTCAGGTACGTGTTGCCCCATAGCGTGCGGCTGAAGTTGAAGTCCCACAAAAAACTATGACAGGGATAATTAAGGGGCGAAACACCACACAACATTCAGTATACCCCTAACATGCAGATTACATACCAGCTCCGGCACCAACTACGTACCGGAACGCTCATTGTCGCGTATTTGGCAGCCTCTGCTGGGTCCTCGAGCAGGCCTTCCTGATTTTCCACGGTCCTCATCTCGGCTGCCTCTCTGTCCATGTCACGGAGGTGCTCGCGGAGCACATAGCACAGGGAGCAAGGTCTCACAGACCCGAGCTGCTGGGTGCAAGACACTTTGCATGTCTCCGGGTAGTCGGCCACGTATGAAAACAGAAGCGGCACCACAAACCGCTCGACGCCGTTGGGATCCGTGGCCGCCATGCCCCTGCAAATGCCACAAGTGTTGGCGGTGTTAGAGTATGCCGGCACTAACAACAACTCATGCTACGGAAGTGCGCGAAGGGGATGTTGGATGTGAATACATCAGATGCACGGTGGTTGGCCGATTTACTCACGTGTGTGACGCCACGATGAGGTCAACAAGCACGATCTTCATCGCGGCCTGGAACAAAGCCGTCTTCTCGGCCAGGCTCATCTGACTCGGCGGGAAAGGCAACATCGCCAAGAGCAGCTTGCCACACTCTTGCCACCGACGGTGCAGAGGGATGTTGGCAATGCTTATGTACACCGCCCACACCTTGGTACGCTCGTTACCGCTTAGCATGGTGGCGTCGCTGGAGAGGATGAGGGGAATCACAACAGTCCCTTCCCCGAACATCGCCACCGCTGCACGGTGGGCTTCCTCCCAATAGGTAGCTGTCTCGGGTGTAGAGTTTATGCGACCAGCCCCAGAGTTCTCCTCTCGTGGAAAGAGTACGAACCCCTCCGCGTTGGCGGGGTTTCGTAGCAGCTCTAGGACAGCCTGCGATATGGGGTGGATTCAACACCACAAAGCGGTACGACGGATTAGCGCTGGATTAAGCAGAGCATATTGCAACGCATCGTACCGTCGCGCACCTCTTTACCACCGGTCGCCGTGGCCTCGAAGGGTGTTGGCCAGTTGGGCAGGAAGAACGTGTGGGTTTCGTACTCGCGCGTGGCCATGAGCCGAGACATGCCATACTGCAGCACGGCATGCAGTGTGTGCCAGTGCTGGAGCAGCGCAAGGTTAAGGCGTTCCTCCCTCAGTAGATTCAACAGTCACACTGTGCTGTCGTTGGACAATCCTTGCCCGTTGTTGCATCCGACAATGAATCGGAAAACCTCCATCAAAGTTTCGAAGCGCTCGGTGGGTCGAAAGTTCGCCTCTGGAACGCGATCTGCCTCCGCAACTGTTGCATCGGTTTTGTCATTCTCTGCTGCATCTTGAACCTCCGCCTCCGTCTGTTCTTCGGGCTCTGGCTTGGCGCCCTACACATGGGAGACGAATGTAGTTAGTACTGGAGCGTTTAACAAGGGATGAGCTATCACGCTGATTTAACACATGCCCACGACTCATTCTAACTTGCCTGGTCAGGATTGTCATCGGCGTTCGCCATGGCAGCATTAGTTCCGCCCGATCGAGTTTGATGGGACACTTCATCGGCTGGGTCGTCATCGTCTGAGTCGTTTCCAGTCTGCCCGGAAGTGGCAGCTGGCGGCACGGGCGCACTAAGTGAAAGGACAAACTGGGAGCGGATGCGTAAGTTCCGAATGAAGCGTAAACGGATACGACGGCACGCGCCGCTGCGGGTCTTGTGAGCAAACAAAGCAGATCGTGAAGTAAAGCAGCGATGGCACCACTCACAAGCATACAGCGCTAGGGGATAAGGCATTGTGACGCCGTACACGCTAGAAGCGCTGAAGGGGCTCGAATGTGGATTCGGGGCTGGTTATACGCTCATTAAGTACTAGCTTTGCTTGGCTATAGTGATGTGTATTGTTACGGAAAACGAAGGGCGTAATACAAATATTTTTTAGCAGCCTAACGTTGGACATTGGCAGTTCTGCCAATGTGTGGGTCTCAACTGCGATTGGCTGGTGACTCCCATTCGCGATCAATTTCGAGGCTGGTAACACCGTATTTGGCGTGTGTTGGTATTACTCCCATATTGGTCAGAACTGCATCAATGTCAGCAATGACGACTCTGTCCAGATATCTATGGTTCAGTTGCTAAGCGCTGGCGTGTAACAAGGTCGGACATTAGTACCCCCCACCGGCTGTCCACGTCGGACACTGCGGCAGAGCAACCGTTCGTCAAGGAATCCAGATCAACACTTGACATAGTTAGACGAATGTGGACTGCAGTTGCATCAACGAGCGGAAGCGAGTAGGTTACCTTGCTATATGTTATCGCCCTTACAGGATTAGCAAACTCGCCAGTAACCAGCATGAAACAGCATTCGCAATCTCGTGTTTCTCAACTCGCGGAACACATGGTTGATAACTCCTCAGCTATTGCACCATTGGCGAAGTGGTTATTGGGATGGCGAGCCAGCTTCGCACGGGGTGTCCAGTTGTCACTAGGATCCCTCGGGCGCGTATGTCTTAGCACCAATGCACATTTTTGAGGCACAACAACACATTGTCAAATTCAGTTTACACGATCTCTCGCTTCGTCATGGTGAATACAAGCCCCGCCCTTCAGTGCCTTCTGGCCCGTCTAGCTCAGTGGCGGTGCGCTCGTGATGGCAGCGCGCGTCACGAGTCTACACGCTACCGTGGACCTGTCTGGCCCAAGGTCCGCACAACCAAAACCAGGCCCCCATCCATCGCTGTGCTTGTGCGGGATTTCAACAAAATCACGGCAGTTTTGATGCAGGCGGGGTACATGCGACTATTGTCAGCTGGAGTGACGCCAACCCCGCGTAAGCTAGTCGAAGCTGTTGAGCATCTTGTTGCGACCCGCCATGCTTCGGCCAAAACGCATCGCCAGCGCGCAGTGACGGCGCTCCGACGAGCACGTGGCGGCGCGCCGCAGGAAAATCTATCATTTATAGACACGGCGTGCATCAGCGCGGTCCTTCACGACGATGGGGATCCGGCGTCGCTGCATGCTCTCGTATCCCGCTTTATGCGCACCGTCAAAGCCAAAGGTCACCTCAAAATTAATTACGCAGCGACCGGGCTCGATGACCTGGCATCAACTACTACATGCGGTCGTGACTACCGTGTCTTTCTAATGCACTTTGCGATGAGCGAGGGATGGGTGGTGAGTTTCTAGCGCCACAACAAACACGCTTCACTGCTTACCTCGCCATGTTTTGATGTGGTTCTCAGCCCTTTTGTTTCTTACTGGCAGATGGAAGATGGGAAGTATCAATATTACGGCGGCGAAGACGCCCGAGTTGTTTTCAGCGCCCACAAGATAGTGCAGCCGATGCTCTACAATTATCTTCAGGGCAAACACGTGGGCGGCGTGGACGGGATTGGTGCCGGTATTCTGGCACACACCATCGGAATGCTTGCATGGTGGGAGGTGGCATCGCCGGATCGTTAGATCTGGCCTCAGTGGAAGGGGAAGCACATGTGCGTGTATCCCTGGGAGGTACCCGATGGCATGTCTAAGGCACCTCTTTGTCGCCTAATCATGCAGGACTATGACTTCAATCACCCAGACGAGGACCAACCGGAATTTCGTCTCTAGTGGAGAACTGATGTATCAATGTTCGATTCAGTTGTGCATGACCATGCACTGTAGGATCTGGTAGTGTGTTCGCACTTTGTTTGCACGTCTTTTTTAAGAAGAATGGCAAATATCGAGTCAAATTCATTACAATTAGTGCCAGCGAGCAAACACATAGTAGCATAATCCGGTAAGGATTTAGTAAGTCGGTGCAGCTCAAAGCTGGTGCACTCCAGGGTATCGGACTATGCCATGAGCTCTGCACGCTTTCAGGCACATGGCACAAGTATAGAGACTTGGCGCTCGACTCTATGGTACGACGCGGCCATTTCTACAGTACACACATTAACCTATGACTGGCCCACCCTGTGCGGCCAGTGCACTGTATAGGTTGGGGGTACGAAATAGGTCCGTCGGCACTTTCCTGACCCCAAGTGCCAATCAATATCCGCGCGGTTACTTCGTTGGCAGATGGCTTGACGAGGGGTACGAAAAAACATTTGGCGCCAAACATGCGTTGTATAACACGTCAACCCCAAACACGTCATCCCCGGGTACGCAGCACACAGATACGATGAATTATTGACAGCACATCGACAGCTCAGGAAAGGCGAGATATTTTCAACTATGACTCAACGGCAGCGTGCGCAGCGATAGCAAGCGCAGCCTCTGCCTCAGAGGCTTGCGCGGATGGTTGCTCTCGTTCGAGGCTTGTGGCGCGCAGAATCGGGGGCGTTTTGTAGAGTAATAAAGGCGCGGGGCAAGCAATGTGGATGAATATCAGATTGGACAAAGTTTAGAGAGCTCTAGATCAGTCAACCATGGAACCCGCAACTTCACCCTATGCCGCCTACCGTCGCTCGTTGCGAAGCACTGATGGGGTGTGCAGTGACGACGAGGACATGGTGTATAACGGCCTGGGAACAAGATCCCCACGACCGTCTGGCAGGGCGAGTCGCGTGCCATCACCCCGCGAGGACACGCCGGATCGCGGCATGTTCGAGTCGGACACCGAATATCTTCCCTGGGCTGACCGCATCGATGTCGTGGAGGATAACGGGGAAGACGAGACTGAGGAGGAAGATAACGAGGAGCAGGATGCTCCGGTTGACGAAGAAGTGTCAAAATGTTATATAGCTTACTTTGTGTAGGCTATAGTGGGGTAGCCCATAAGGGGTACAACCCAATTAGGGTTAGTACTTGTACCCAACTTCTGTTCAATGCATCCATTCTCATTCATTAGTTTGACATGGTTTCAGAGCAGGTCCTTCGCTAGGACCGATTTTTTTTTTAGGGCCCACCACAGAGCTGCCCCACTAGCTGCCCTGCCGCCCCTACTGCTGTGCACCGCCCTGCCCTGCCCAGTGTGCTGCTCTGCTATGGCTTCTCTCCGTGTTCTCACGTTCGATCATGAGGGCTGTCCGATCCAGTTCGATACGTGGCTCGACGACTTACAGCTGTACCTACTGAGCGACTCTAGAGACAGCATTTCGTTGTTTGCCCACACGTCTGGAGCCTCTCTCGCCCCTCCCGCCACAGCTGACAGTGCAACTCGCTCACAGTGGCTTACCCGTGATGCTGCTGCCTGCTTAGCCATTTGCAACCACCTGCCGTTAGCCGAATGCGCTCACTTCGGACAGCACAAGACTGCTAAAGCACTGTACGACGCTGTAGTCGCCTGTTACTCCTCCCCTGTCACTGCTGCTCTAGGCCGTCTCCTACTGCCCTACCTGTTTCCCGAGCTGTCCGCCTTTGCCACAGTAGAGGACCTCGTTACCCACCTTCGCACTAGAGACGCTCGCTACCGCGGTGCCCTCCCAACCGAGTTCCTTGGCAGGAACCCTCCCCCCCCGATGTACATCACTCTCTACTTCATAGTCACCCGCCTCCCTGACTCTCTTCGCGCAGTCAGGGACCACTTTCTCGCACTCGAACCCGCAGACCTCACTGTTGACCTGCTCGAGCAGCACCTCCTTGTAGCTGAGACTAGTGTGGTCGCTGTAGGTGCCACTCGTGACACTCCTCGCACGCCCTTCTTTGAGGGGTGTTCCCCCTCCCCCCTTGCCCCCTCCTACGCCTCTGCTGCTGCTGCTGACGTCCTTGGTGCTGAGGATGTCGAGGCTGCTTCTGCTAGTGGGAAGCGCCACAGCAGCAAGGGCAAGGGTGGCAGGAGTAGTGGAGGTGGCAGCGAGGGTGGTAGTGGGGGTGGCAGTGGAGGTGGTGGAGGTAGTGGAGGTAGTGGAGGTGGTGGCAGCGGTGGGAGTGGTGGCGAGAGTGGGGGCTTTGGTGGCGGCGGTGGTGGCAGCGGTGGGAGTGGCGGTAGCGGCGGCAGTGGGAGTGGTGGTAGTCCTGGTGGAGCTGTCCAGAGGGGAGGTTCTGGCGGTGGCCAGCGGCAGCAGCAGCAGCGTCGGAGCGAGACCCCTTCACCCCAGCAGCTTCGTGAGTGGTTTTCTCAGCGTGGGGTGTCTGGGGGTAGTGTTAGCTGCCCGTATGTCATTTGCACGGGTGTCCGTGCTGGTTAGACATGCGAGAAGCCTCACACTCAGCACCGCTGCTTCTTCCGCCTAGACGACGCTTGGCGCGCAGAGTTTGGTGACGAGGTCGAGCGCCCCGCTAGGCAGAGCTGCTTAGGGCTGGAGTTGCTATCTTTGATCTTGACTATGATGCTATCCTTGCTGCTATGTATGCCTTGTCTGTTAGTGCTGAGGGTGACTGTTACCTGTGTGTGCCACCTGACCCAGGTATAGAGGCTACTGCTCTAGGTGCTAGTGAGTCTGCTCTCCCTGGTACTGCGCCTGCTGAGGCCTTGCACACCTTTACGCTTTACTCAGGTGCTTCCCGCTGTTTCTTTCGTGACAGTATCACCCTCACTCCTCTCTCTGCACCTATACCAGTCAGAATGGGTGACCCCTCAGGGGGCCCAGTTCTTGCCCGTTCCTCCACTGTTCTCCCGTGTCCGGCGGTTCCGTCCGGCTCCCTGTCAGGTCTTCACCTCCCCTCGTTCTCTACGAACTTGGTGGGTACAGCTGCCCTCCAGGGTGCGATGGTCACTACCACCACTCATGAAGGTCAGCGTGTATTGATCTGCACGTGTACACGGACGGGCCGTCACCTGGCCACGTTCACCCGTCGGCCTGGGTCGAGTCTGTACACCCTGGCTACCGAGCCTCCTCAGGTAGCTGCGTCCGTCCAGGTGTCCGCGTCAGGTCCGTGTCAAAATGTTATATAGCTTATATTGTGTAGGCTATAGTGGGGTAGCCCATAAGGGTTACAACCCAATTAGGGTTAGTACTTGTACCCAACTTTTTGCTAGTTCATTTATTCTCGTTCATTATTCTAACATGGTATCAGAGCAGGTCCTCCGCTAGGACCGGTTTTTTTTCTTGGGCCCACCACTGCACTGCCCTTAGCGGCCCTCGTGTCGCCCCTTGGCCCGTCGCCCCCAGGCCCGTTGCCCCTAGCTCGGCCCGTAGGCCCTAGCCAGCGCGCCCCTAGCCCGGCCCGTCGCCTCTAGCACAGCCCCGTCGACCCCTAGCTCGCGCGCCCTGGCCTATCGACCCCTAGCCCGTGCGCCCCGGCCCGTCGACCCCTAGCCCGCGCGCCCCGGCCCGTCGACCCCTAGCCCGCGCCCCTATCCCGCGCGCCGGCCCCGTCGACCCGTAGCCCGCGCGCCGGCCCGTCGACCCCTAGCCTGCGCGCCCTTGCCCTGTCGACCCCTAGCCCGCGCACCCACCCCGTCGACCCCTAGCCCGCGCCCCGGCCTCGTCAACCCCTAGCTCGCGCGCCACGGCCCCGTCGACCCCTAGCCCGCGCCCCGGCCCGTCGACCCCTAGCCCGCGCCCCGGCCCCGTCGACCCCTAGCCCGCACGCCACGGCCCCGTCGACCCCTAGCCCGCACGCCACGGCCCCGTCGACCCCTAGCCCACGCGCCCCGGCCCGTCGACCCCTAGCCGGCGCGCCCCGGCCCGTCGACCCCTAGCCCGCGCCCCGGCCCGTCGACCCCTAGCCCGTGCGCCCTGGCCCCGTCGACCCCTAGCCCGCGCGCCGGCCCCGTCTACCCCTAGCCCGCACCCTGGCCCGTCGACCCCTAGCCCGCGCGCCCTGGCCCCGTCGACCCCTAGCCCGCGCCCCGGCCCCGTCGACCCCTAGCCCGCGTGCCCCGGCCTCGTCGACCCTAGCCCGCGCGCCCCGGCCCGTTGCCCTTAGGCCCCCTGCCCCTTGGCCCCTGCTGCTGCTACTGCTACTACTGCTGCTCCTGCTGCTACTGCTACTGCTGCTACTGCTATTGCTGCTAATGCTGCTGCTACTGCTGCTACTGCTGCTCCTGCGTGCTGCGCCACTATGGCTTTTCTTCGAGTTCTCGCGTTCGATCATGAGGGCAGACCGATTCAGTTTGACACGTGGCTCGACGACCTGCAGCTGTACCTACTGAGCAATTCTAAGGACAGTGTTTCACTGTTTGACCTCGCGTCAGGTGCCGCTACTGCCCCTCCCGCCACAGCTGACAGTGCGACTCGCTCACAGTGGCTTACTCGCGACGTTGCTGCCTGCTTAGCCATTCGCAACCACCTGCCGCTAGCCGAATGCGCTCACTTTGGACAGCACAGGACAACACAGGCACTGTACGACGCTGTAGTCACTCGCTACTCCTCGCCTGCCACTGCTGCTCTAGGCCGCCTGCTTCTGCCCTACCTGTTCCCCGAGCTGTCAGCCTTTACCACGGTAGATGACCTTGTTTCCCACCTCCGAACTAGCGACGCTCGCTACCGCGCTACCGTCCCTGCTGAGTTCCTTGACAGGAACCAGCCCCCGATGTTCATCACTCTCTACTTCATAGTCACCCGCCTCCCTGACTCTCTTCGCTCTGTCAGAGA